CTTTCCCTGTCTGATTATCTCTCATCAGTCACAATATACAAATACATCATTATCAACACCATGGAAAATATGTAAGAAAAACAAACTGTACCAATTCTCAGCTGGGGAGAGGAAATCCTAGCAGCTATTTCAGCTCCAGCTGCAAGAAGAAATATATAATTTGGCTCTTTTTTTTTCTTATTATTCTGATATATTTCTAATCATATATATATTTGAAGTCAGGCTTTGAGTATTTTTGGAAAGGAAGTGCATGGCCATTCTCATACCCAAGCATGTTTGAAATCTCAAGAGTCTGAGAAAATTTTGAATAACAAAATGGCTTTTCATCACATACACAACTAGAACATAAGACACACGCATAGCTGTGTTGTCGCTGGCAAGAAAAGCCAGTGCTTGGACATGGTTTGGCTGGAGCAGTTTCTGATCAAGACAATGACCATTGGTCTGATTCTCCACCCAGTGGGGTTAGACGTGAGAGGAGCTGAGGATCAGGGGTGAATACATTTTAGCCTGGTTTACCAAAATCAAGACTTGTGTATCGTGACAACTGCCCATCTCTTTGTCACTACCGCCGGCAAGGAAGGAGTCTGTTGCCCAGCTACACCCGACTGAGCAGAGGGCAGAGTTTTGAGGATGTGAAGTTTCTGCAAGTTTCACAGAAGATGGCAGCAGAGCAGAGGGAGGAGATCCAAGTCAGAACCTCAGCCTGGAAGGCAAGTCTCACTAGTCCAGGCAGAAGAGCCAGGCAGCTGGCACAGACTCACCGGTCAAACAACAAGGGCACAATGCTCAACCGTGAGTGCTGCTACAGCATGGATTTACCTTGGACCTTGTCTTTTCTACAACTGAAACTTAGTGGCAATCACTACTTTTAAACTACATTCTGGTCATTATAACATGTCCAAGCAACACTGAAGTAAAATGCGTATTTGAAAACTCTGATTTTTAGGTCTACCTACATGAAAATGACGGTGACAAAGATCTACATACAGAAAAATATGCCTAAACGTACACAGTAGTCTTGCTGGACATTACCAAATTGTATTTTAGACTATACATGGAGAGTCATTCCCTTAATTATCACCTTGCTGGCAGAAATACAACTAATTAAAAGACTATACTGTCTACCATTAAAAAGAAAAAAATCATCAAACCCCATTTTGTCTCGTCAGCAAAGTCAGAAGGTTACTTCTTTTTGGCTGCTCTCAGACTTGCCAGCAGCCTGATGTGCCACTGAACTTCATTCTTTAAAAAAACAAACCCAGCAGTGTGGCACTGTCTCACTGGCATTTGCACTCAACCGGCCAAAGTGAGTTAAATGTCATCCACGGGACACTGATGGTACAGGAGTGACTCAAACTTTAGTCCAACAGGATAAAACATGAGATTTTGTGAAACAAACAACAAAAAGCAAACCAACAAAAAAAATATTGTTTTCAAAAGCAAAGTAGGGAGAAGAATTCTTATAATACAGCCCATACCTTTGCAGTTGTCATGACAAGATGGTGAGTTGGGAGAGAGGAGACACTTCTGCAGCAATCCTCTCCCTGCTCCAGCTCTAGCCTGCCCCACACGATGTCCCCACTGACACTCATGAAGGGCACAGTGGGACATACAGGGTGGAGTGCTTTGCTCTTCCCTGGAGGGTCCTCAATTTTTGTATACATGCTAAATTCTAGCATCGGAATTCATTAGATTTGGAAATCCAATAGCTCCCATTTTACAGGGGGATATCGAGGCAGCAGGGGATACAGGGCCAGCACACGCTGTCACCCTGCACGCAGCAGAGGTAGGAAAAGGACTGACAGTACCTGATTTTCCATCTTCAGTTCAAACAGAGCCTTCCCACCGGCATTTCACCATTAGAATGAGATTCCTACAAAGAAACTCCAAAGTGCAGGTTTGCATCTTCCATCTGTCAGCAACGTCACAAATCCTAGTTTCAGCAGTTTCATATACCCAGGGTAACCCTTCCCCAACTTTCTCTCTCTCTCTCACACACACACAAAAGCTTACTATGTTTACTAATGTGCAATCAAAGCTCTCTACCCCTTTCCTCTCCTATGTTTAGTGCAGGGGTAGACAGAAGCACTGTTATCAGGCAGTGCAAAAATTAGGGAAAGGATTACAGAAACCAAAATGAACTCATTTTAGGGAGAGGATAAAATAATTGCACTATAAGAAAATATCACTGCATATTTCCTTAGGGGACTGAAAGGAATCGGTTCTTCCCTCAAGATGCTCATGCCAACAGTAGACTAACAAGATTCATGCTCCTGAGAGCCTACGTGTAATTTTTAAGGTAAATGACCATCACAAAACAAACAAGTTCTTATCCCTGTAGGATGAAATCAGCTTCTAAAAAGGTACAGAACTCTCAGGTCCTTCAGCCATGAATGGAAAATGTAAGAAACCACAGAGTTCAGAAATCAAAGGTTAGAAGAACCATGGGAATTAACCACCACAGTGCAACTCATAATTAACCAATGAGCCTTCACAGGCAAACAAAATCTGAATAAGCCTTTACTTACTGCAAGGCTTTTTCCTGAATAGGACTATCTACCTGCTTCACAGCTATCCCGACTCACACACTAAGCTATTTACAATGCCAGCCTCCACTGAGACACAAAGAAAAACATCCAGGTCCCTGCGAAGATGATAGCAGAAATGATACAGACTCCTACTCTTTTGCTCAGAGGCTCAATTACTAACCAGTGAGGTTTGGTTTTGCTTTGTCTCCATTTTTAGTGCTTTCGTCCCCTTTGTTATTTACATAGAGCATCATTAGTCTCAGGGTTAAAACAAAAAATCACTAATAGTGAAAGCCAATCACTCTTAAGATTCTGGGGCAATTTTTACCAGGCTGATCTTTGCCTGTTTGCAACTTTTAGTCAATATTTATATTTACTAAAATATTAGCAGCTTTTGTAGGACTGAAGACCCAATTACCATCAAAATGCCTTCGTGTATTAACAGCTGCTCTGAATGAGCTAATGGCTTATATAGGAGTAATAACACCTGTAATCACTTCATATTATCCATTACATCCTTATGTGGCAGAGATTTGGTACAGTCCTTTAATCAAATGTCCTGGAAAGAAGTATTTAACAACAACACTTTATCCACTCATTGGAGCATCTAATGCTCGCTGCCTATTTGCAATGCTTAATTATATTCCGAATGGGGGATGAAATGTATCTACTCCATAGCCCAGCACACAAAGAAAGCATGCAGCCTACTCAGACATATGACGTTAAATGGCATTCAATTGAATTCTCGGCACCAGAAACGAAGGATTGTGATCCAGCAACCACAGACTGCAGAGGGGCAGAGGAATGACTTAATATTGTAAAAAGA